CATATCGCACTGCTACGAGTGTGATATTGCTCATATATATTATTGATCTCCTTCCACATTGTATTGTAAGGTTGTAAATTGTATTTTCTTTATCTTGACCCTTATATGAATGTTAAAATTGTAAATTTATATTTAATTTCAAAAATATATTTCACTGTGAATCAAAGTTATAAAATACAGTTGAAGTCAGAATTATTAGCCCCCGTTGAATTTTTTTTTCTTTTTTAAATATTTGCCAAATGATGTTTAACTGAGCAAGAAAATGTTCACAGTATGTCTGATAATATTTTTTCTTCTGGAGAAAGTCTGATCTCTATTATTTCGGCTGGATTAACAGCAGTTTTTAATTTTTTCAGATTAATTTTAAAGCCAAAATTATTAGCCCGGGCGAGGCAGTGGTGCAGCAGGTAGTGCTGTCGCCTCACAGCAAGAAGGTCGCTGGGTCGAACCTCGGCTCAGTTGGCGTTTCTGTGTGGAGTTTGCATGTTCTCCCTGCCTTCGCATGGGTTTCCTCCGGGTTCTCCGGTTTCCCCCACAGTCCAAAGACATGCGGTACAGGTGAATTGGGTAGGCTAAATTGTTCGTAGTGTATGAGTGTGTGTGTGAATGTAGGTGTGGATGTTTCCCAGAGATGGGTTGCAGCTGGAAGGGCATCCGCTGCGTAAAAACTTGCTGGATAAGTTTGCGGTTCATTTCGCTGTGGCGACCCCGGATTAATAAAGGGACTAAGCCGACAAGAAAATGAATGAATGAATGAATGAATGAATGAATGAATTATTAGCCCCTTTAAGCCATATTTTTTTCGATAGTCTACAAAACACACTATCATTATACAATAACTTGCCTAATTACCCTAGTTTACCTAGTTAAGCTTTTAAATGTCACTTTAATCTGTATTAAAGTGTCTTAAAAATATCTAGTCAAATATTATTTACTGTCATCATGGCAAAGATAAAATAAATCAGTTATTTAGAGATGAGTTATTAAAACTATTATGTTTAGAAATGTGTTGAAAAAAATCTTCTCTCCGTTAAACAGAGATTGGGGAAAAAATAAACAAGGGGGCTAAAAATTCTGATTTCAATTGTGTATCTATTTCTAAATAAATAAAGCATCTTCTCTTTTATCATATCAGGGAGAAAAACAGATGTTTGTGCATATATTTGTGCATTGACCTCACCTTTCCAGTGGCCAGCGCAAAGAGCAGGATGCCGAGCGACCACCAGTCAGAAGCGTGGTTATAGGGACCACCGCTAAGGACTTCAGGAGCTTAAAAGACACATTTCATACGAATTTTGCTTACATTCCACACTGCTACAAATATAAATGCCCTTGCATTAGTTCAGCTATAAATCTCACAGTATAAAGTGTTTGTTTATGTACATTATTTATGTTGCATCAGTGTCATTATAGATTTACCCATATACTGGATTGTTCCACAGATAGTGAACGCCCTTCCTCCACGCTCAAGGCGACGGGACAAACCAAAATCAGCCAGACGTAGGTGGCCTGTAACACAATATCAGACATTTACATAGCAACACTTAATAATAATAATATGTATATTATCGTTTATTATTAATTACATGTATACATAAATGTACAGTTGAAGTTTTTTTCAACACATTTCTAAACATAATAGTTTTAATAACTCATTTCTTATAACTGATTTATTTTATCTTTGCCATGATGACGGTAAATAATATTTCACTAGATATTTTTCAAGACACTTTTATACAGCTTAAAGTGACATTTAAAGGCTTAACTGGTTTATTTAGGCAAATCATCGTATAACAGTGGTTTATTCCGTAGACAACAAATTTAATTGCCAAAAAATATTGCTTAAGGGGGCTAATAATATTGACCTTAAAATGGCCAATAGCCGAAATAAATCAAATGAGACTTTCTCCAGTAGAAAAAATACTATCAGAAATACTGTGAAAACTTGCTCTGTTAAGCATCACAAAAAACAAAAAAACAAACAAACAAAAAATCTCAGGAGGGCGAATAGTACTGAAAACTGTGTATAACTATAAATAGCTCTCATGTAAAACAAATATTAATTGTTGATGGCATTTGACTTTTAATACTGCAGTGACAATTCAAAATTACAATAAGAATGTGCTGGGAGAACAGTAATGCTTGTTTCAATAATCTAGGCCTATTCTTCGGCTTAAAAGTGTAAAGCCTGGATGTTCTGGAACGTTCCATGTTTACATGAGAAAAAACAACAACAATTGGCACAGACTGCCCTCCACTGGAGAGACCGGAGAATACACACTGCCTTACCCTGATCTGTTAGCAGGACGTTCTCCATCTGTTCAAAAAATAAAGCAGAGAACAATTCTGTAATTAGACATTTTAAAGATCATATTTATGACATCAAAGTTCAATTAATTTAATTTAAAACATTACATATGAAACCGTGTATACCTTCACATCACGATGGATGATTGCACAGTCATGAAGAAAGCCTGAAAAATAAGAAAAATAATGTTATGTAATGTGATGTGATGTAATATAATATAATAATTTAATGTAATATAACATAATATATCATAAAATAATATAATATAATATATCATAATAATATAATATAATATATTATAATATAATATCATATAATAAAATAAAATAAAATTAAGCTAAATTAAATTAAAATAAATTAAATATAACATAACATAGTATAATACATCATAATATAATATCATATAATGTAATAAAATACAATATAATATATCATGATATAATATAATATATCCTAATATAATTTAAATATAATATAATATAATATAACTTAATATAATATAACATAATATAATATATTATAATATAATATAATATAACTTAACATAATATAATATAATATAACATAACATAACATAATATAATATAACATAACATAACATAATATAATATAATATAATATAACATAATATAATATAACATAACATAATATAATATAATATAACATAACATAATATAATATAACATAACATAATATAATATAACATAACATAATATAATATAACATAACATAATATAATATAATATAACATAACATAATATAATATAACATAACATAATATAACATAATATAACATAATATAATATAACATAATATAATATAATATAATATAACTTAATATAATATAACATAACATAATATAATATAATATAACATAACATAATATAATATAACATAATATAATATAACATAACATAATATAATATAATATAATATAACATAATATAATATATTATAATATAACATAATATAATATAACATAATATAATATAATATAATATAACTTAATATAATATAATATAATATAATATAATATAACATAACATAATATAATATAATATAATATAACATAACATAACATAATATAATATAACATAATATAATATAATATAATATAATATAATATAATATAATATAATATAACTTAATATAATATAACATAATATAATATAACATAACATTATATAATATAATATAATATAAAATAATATAATATAATATAATATAATATAATATAATATAATATAAAATAATATAATATAATATAATATAATATAATATAATATAATATAATATAATATAATAACATTTGGGTTAATAAAAATTTATAATAAGATCAATGTTATTTAACAAGAACCTATTCAATTCATTTAAAATAACAATAGACATTTATATTATTACAAATGATTTATTTAAAATAAATCTGGTTTCCACAACACATTAAGCAGAACAACAAAGAAACATTTCCCGAGCAGCAAATCAGTATATTTAAATCATTTCTGAAGGATGGAATAATGATACAAGTTTGCCATCCCAGGAATAAATCATAACCTAAAATATATAAAAATGTAAATTGAGTTTTGGCTTGCTAATTAACAGTGATTTAGTGGCAGACAAAATATTGACAAATTGGGGGGAAAATTGACTAAAATCATGTAACATCTGTCCATCCATCCATCCATCCATCCATCCATCCATCCAATCATGTAAAATCTGTCCATCTATTAAATCATGTAACACCTGTTTATCCATCCATCCATCCATCCATCCATGCATATCATGCAACAGTAACATCTGTCCATCCATCCATCAATCCATCAAATTTATGTAACATTCATCCATAAGTCCTGTAACATCTGTCCATCCATCCACCCATGCATCCATTCATCCATCACAATCATGTAAAATCTGTCCATCTATTTAAATCATGTAACACCTGTCTATCCATCCATCCATCCATATCATGTAACAGTAACATCTGTCCATTCATTCATCCATCAATCCATCCATCCATCCATCAAAATCATGTAACATCCATCCATAAGTCCTGTAACATCTGTCCATTCATCCATCCATCCATCCATCAAAATCATGTTACATCTGTTCATCCATCCATCCATCCATCCATCCATCAAAATCATGTAACATCCATCCATCCATTCATCTATCCATCAAAATCATGTAACATCTGTCCATCCATCCATTCATCCATCCATCCACCCATCCATCCATAAAAATCATGTTACATCTGTTCATCCATCCATCCATCAAAATCATGTAGCATCTGTTCATCCATCCATCCATCAAAATCATGTAACATCCATCCATCCATCCATCAAAATCATGTTACATCTGTTCATCCATCCATCCATCAAAATCATGTAACATCCATCCATCTATCCATCCATCCATCCATCCATCCATCCATCCATCCATCAAAATCATGTAACATCTGTCCGTTCATCCATTCATCAAAATCATGTAACATCCATCCATAAGTCCTGTAACATCTGTCCATCCATCCATCCATCCATCCATCCATCCATCCATCCATCAATCCATTCATCAAAATCATGTAACATCTTTCCATCCATCCATTCATCAAAATCATGTAACATCTGTCCATCCATCCATTCATCCATCCATCAAAATCATGTAACATCTGTCCATCCATCCATTCATCCATCCATCCATCCATCCATCCATCCATCCATCCATCCATCCATCCATCAAAATCATGTAACATCTGTCCGTTCATCCATTCATCAAAATCATGTAACATCCATCCATAAGTCCTGTAACATCTGTCCATCCATCCATCCATCCATCCATCCATCCATCCATCCATCAATCCATTCATCAAAATCATGTAACATCTTTCCATCCATCCATTCATCAAAATCATGTAACATCTGTCCATCCATCCATTCATCCATCCATCAAAATCATGTAACATCTGTCCATCCATCCATTCATCCATCCATCCATCCATCCATCCATCCATCCATCCATCCATCCATCAAAATCATGTTACATCTGTTCATTCATCCATCCATCAAAATCATGTAACATCCATCCATCCATCCATCCTTCCATCAAAATCATGTTACATCTGTTCATCCGTCCATTCATCAAAATCATGTAACATCCATCCATCTATCCATCCATCCATCCATCCATCAAAATCATGTAACATCTGTCCGTTCATCCATTCATCCATCAAAATCGTGTAACATCCATTCATAAGTCCTGTAACATCTTTCCATCCATCCATTCATCCATCAAAATCATGTAACATCTGTCCATCTATTAAAATCATCTAACAACTGTTCATCCATCCATCCATCCCTCCATCCATCCGTCCATCCATCCATCCATCCATCCATCCATCCATCCATCCATCCATCCATCCATCCATCCATCCATCCATCCATATCATGTAACATCCATCCATAAGTCCTGTAACATCTATCTATCTAATCTTTGGTCCAGTCTACAGAACAAACCATCGTTTTACAATGATTTGCCTAATTAATTACCCTAACTTGCCTAAATAATGTAACTAACCCAGTGAAGCTTTTTAAAGGCACTTTAAGCTGAATACTAGTATCTTCAAAAATATCTAGTAAAATATAATTTACTGTCATCATCATGGCAAAGATAAAAGAAATTAGTTATTATAAATGATTTATTAAAATATTATGTTTAGAAATGTGTTGAAAAAGCATTACTGTTAACCAAAATTGGTGAAAAAAATATACAGTGGGGCAAATAATCCTGACATCAACTGTATGTTTGGTTTATCAGCAGTATCTGTGAGAATTCTCTACATCTGATCAGTGCTGTTTCTCAATACATCATGTGTAAGTCATGAAATATGTGCTTACCTAGAGCAGAACCTAATTCAGCAGCGAACACTTTGACCACGTCCTCTCCAAACTGACCGATCATCACCCAGTATGTGTACAAGTCCCCTGTGCTGCAGTAATCACACACTAGAGGGAAAATAAACGCAATCACAGCATATAAACACCGCCAGAGTCAACAAATCCTCAAAACATTCGAATCCAACATGAAACGACTGCAGAGAAAACATCTGTCGGTCTGGGAGAAGACCAGATTCAGGAGACCATCTGTTTGTAGCAGCGACGCCTTCATCCATTCGCCAAACATCATGGACAGACCAAGTCTAGAACATTCTGCTAATAAACAGAATCTTAACCTTGAAGATCCCAGTGATAAACATGAAGGCTGAATGAAGAGTTGATAAAAAGGGAGCAAAACAAGCTGTGAACAGAGGAGTCAGGTGGTGTGATCAAAGGAAGTGACACGTTCACCACTGTAGATTTAGGAGGAGAAAGCATTCAAGGGACATCATAGTGGAAGAAGGAAGTTTACTTTGACAAGTGCAGTCAGGGTCACTGGAAATCAAACACAGGGGAAAAGTACTGAGGTTTGGGTGGAGGTGCTCTAAAACCTGACAGAGAAACTATTAAGTGGCTTCAACTGGAATCTGTGTCCTTTTGGTCTTTTGTGTAACTGGATTGGGGGAAAGTCTAGTAAACGGAGTCTGTCTGTCTGTCTGTCTGTCTGTCTGTCTGTCTGTCTATCAAAAAATCATGTAACATCCATCCATCAATCCATCCATCTATTAAAAATCATGTAACATCCATCCAAGGCAAGGCATCCATCCATCCAACATAACATCCATCTATCAAAAATCATGTAACATCCATCCATCCATCCATCCATCCATCCAACATAACATCCATCCATCAAAAATCATGTAACATTCATCCACCTATCTATTCATCCATCCACATATCCATTAAATAATGAATAACAATCCAAGGCAAGATATCTATCCACTCACCCATCCATCCATCCATCCATTCACCCATCCATCCATAATCATGTAACCATCCATCTGTTCATGCACCCATCCATCCATACATCAAATGTAACATCCATCCATCCATCCATCCATCAAAAATCATGTATCATCCATACATCCATCCATCAATCAAAAATCATGAAACATCCATACACTCATCTATCCATCCAGATATCCATTAAAAATCATGTAACATCCATCCAAGGCCTTTCATGCACCGATCCATCCATCCATCAAATGTAACATCCACCATTCCATCTATTTATCCATCCACATATTCATTAGAAATCATGCAACATCAATCCAAGCCAAGTCAAGGCATCCATCCACTTACACATCCACACATAATCATGTAACATCCAACTATCCATTCATGCATTGATCCATCGATCAAAAGAAACATCCATCCATCAAAAATAATGTATCATCCATCCATCAATTAAAAATTATATAACATTCATACACCCATCTATGCACCCATCCACATATCCTTTAAAAATCATGTAACATCTATCCAAGGCAAGGTAAGGCATCCATTCATTCACCCATCCACCCATAATCATGCAACATTCATCTATCCATTCATGTACCTATCAGTCCATCCATCAAATGTAACATCCATCAATCAACAATCATATATCATCCATCCATACATCTATCAATCAAAAATCATGTAACATCCATCCACCCATCTATTCATCCATCCACATATTCATTAAAAATTATATAACATCCATCCAAGGCAGGGTAAGGCATCAATCCATTCACCCACCCATCCATCCATCCATCCATCCATAATCATGTATCATCCATCCATCCATTCATCCATCAATCAAAAATCATGAAACATCCATACACCCACCTATCCATCCAAATATCATGAAACATTCAAGGCAAGGTAAGGCAACCATCCATTCAAGCATCCATCTATCCATCCATTCATCCACCCATAATCATGTAACATCCAAGTATCCATTCATGCACCCATCCGTCCATCAAATGTAACACCCATCCATCAAAAATCATGTATCATCCATCCATCCATCAAAAATCACATAACATTCATTCACCCATCTATGCATCCATCTAAATATCATTTGAAAATCATCCCAGGTAAGGTAAGGCATCCATTCATTTACCCATCCATCCATCCATCCATCCATCTATCCACCCATAATCATGTAACATCCATCTATCCTTTCATGCACCTATCCATCCTTCAAATGTAACATCCATAAATCAAAAATCATCTAACATCCATCCACCCATCTATTTATCCATCCACATGTCCATTAAAAATTATATAATATCAATCAAAGGCAAGGTGAGACATCCATCCACTCACCCATCAATCTATCCATTCACCCACAATCATGTAACATCCATCTATCCATTTATGCACCCATCCATCCATCAAAAATCATGTAACATCCATCCATTCATGCACCCATCCATCCATCTATCCATCAAAAATCATGTAACATCCACCATCCATCCATATCATGTAACATCCACCCAACCATCCATTAAATCATCCATCCGTCCGTCCGTCCGTCCGTCCGTCTGTCTGTCTGTCTATCTATCTATCTATCTATCTATCTATCTATCTATCTATCTATCTATCTATCTATCTATCTATCTATCTATCTATCTATCTATCCCATGGCTCTACTATCATTTCCTTGTTATAAGAAGTACTTTGGACTTTTTGATGTTTAGAAAGTTGTATTTGATAAACTAGAACATCGAATGAAATCAGCACCATGGATAGCACCAATATTCTATAGAACATGAACTGCACACGATCTTAGGGATATCTACATAGGAAAGGTTTGTCTCATATGTAATCCATTTGACAACCAGCATTAGACCATCAACATCTCACTCAAAAAAAATAAATAATAAAATAAAAAGAATTTCTATAATTTTCCCACATAAAGCTGGACATTATGATTTAAGATGAAATTTAATTCTAACCAAAATATTACTTTCCAACCATGTTCTTAGCCATATACACATAAAAAAAGCAACTTTTCACTTTTGGACTTTTTTAATGAGATGCTAATGGTCTAATCCAATTCAATAATTTATGCTAAGCTAAACTCAAGTCCTCCTGCGAGACCAAAGATGGCCTGAATGGATTAAAAAATGGTAAAACTCATCTGTTGAACACTAGCTGACTTGTACATTGAACCTATTACAAGACAAATGGAGTGTTTTATAGACCTTTTTCTTGGAACGCAAAATTACCCATTATGCTTTGCGTGTATGCGCAAGGAGAATGCGAAGAACTTCCGGTCGGCAGCTGATGCGTGTAAACGGTCACATTTGGACAGCTTTGAAACGATAGTTTTAATCTGTTTTACCTGCTTTTATCCTCTTTGAACTATTACTGTTGTCCATCAGCACCATCTCCTGGACTGATCATTTAATGAAATGCGATCTAATAGGATGGAAAACAGCTACTGTGAGGCATTTTCCCCTCGTTGTCAGACGGCATCTTCTGCAGTTTAAATGAAGCCTTGTCATCAGTCAACATTTTCTCTTTATTTCAAATATATAACCAGCCCAAACAAATGTAATTCACCAAAATGTTGGACACACACATGAAAATATAGGCTAGTGTCATTTCAAAATGACAGAAAAACACAAACCGTGGTAAAAACAACACACGAAATAAAACACAAACGGCTCGCGATTAGAATGAACAGCAAGTCAGCCAGCAGAGGATCAATAACAGACTTTTATTGGTCATTTTTGTAAATTGCACGACTTTCATACCTGTTAAGTTTCACGCCAGTACTCTGGTTTGCTCTCTCTCTCTCTCTCTCTCTCTCTCTGCGTTGAGCTAACAGCTGACAGGCCGGGAACGCACACACACACTATTTCTGACGGCAAACACGTGAACTACAGTAGGAGAACGTTTTTCTCGTATTTCTGACGCGCTTGAACCACATGTGACCGATTATAACGGCTTTAACAGATACATTTCTAAGTTGTGTGTCACAAAAACGCTCTGTTATCCATTAAAAACGTTATTGAAACCCATTTTCGGAGCGCAAATTACCAGTTGTACATGCTGTAAACGGAAGTTTTTCGCATTCTACCGGAAGACGCTGGTCGCTATGGCGCCCTCCATGCAGCAGCCATGAAAAAGGTCTATAAGAGACCATTTTTCTAATCTTTTGAAATGCAATGTCCTCCATTTAGGTGGGTAAAGAACAAAAAAAGCTCCAGGGAGAACTCAGTGTTTCGGTGGGAACAGGACCACACGGGAAGCTGATTTAGTGGTGGGAAAGGCAGGAGAGAGTTGGGATGTGTTCTGAATCACTCACTAATGTAGATGTGCCGCTGGGTCTGCCAGCAGTCCTGCAGGTCGTGGACAAAAGGATGGCGGACCTGACGCTGCAAGGCAACAGTTTGACAACAAGAGCAAAGGCACAGTGAGTCAGAAACCTCTGTGCGATTGACCTCAGCCTCTTCGTGAACGACTGAGATAAAGAGACCAGCGCATGTTCGGTCTAGCTCGCTTCCAGTCCATTTGCATTTACACCCTAGTTTCTTTAACCACTAAATCAGACACCACCTCAATCTCCATAGTACTTATGATATAATCTAAGAGTCATTACCTGTAAAAGATGACACAGACCATTATCCCTAACAAAAATAAAGATTCCGCAGAAATGCGAGGGCTGTTACTCACCTGGACTATTACTTCCTCCTTTGACTGCTCCAAAACTCCCAAGCGCAAGATCTCAGATTTGGGAATAACCTACAATAGATCAAGATTTTTTAAAATTAATTTATAAATTAATAACATATACCTAAGAAACATTACAGTAACAGACAGTTAAGTTCAGTGCACTGCAAAAAATGCTTTTCTTGCTTAGATTTTTTATCTTGTTTCTAGTCAAAATTTCTAAAATTTCTTATATCAATAAGCAATTTCTAGACAAGCAAAACATATCGTCTTGTTTTGAGACAACAAGTGAGTTTTGCCTTAAAATAAGCAAAATAATCTGCCGATGGGGTAAGCAAATAAATTTTGTTTTTTCTTTTGACATAAGATTATTTTGCTTACCCCATTGGCAGATTATTTTGCTTGTTTTAAGAAAAAGCTCACTAATTATTGGCATATTATTTCTCAAAACAAGACAACATGTTTTGCTTGTCTAGAAAATTCATGATTTAGGAATTTTTTGATATTTGGACTAGAAACAAGACAAAAATGTAAGCAAGAAACGCATTTTTTTGCAGTGTGGAGGACCAGTTCATATGTGAGAAAATTTGATTATGTGTAAAAAATTATTATTTTATTTAGAAATGCAATTTAGTGTACAGCTCAAATTAAAATCTGCTATGTATTTATTCATTTTTTCCATTTAGTTTTTTATTGTAGTTTCCAAATTTACATACAGACGTAAAGTATTTAGGGTTTTCCACATTTGGTACACAAAACAACCAGACATTGGAAGTTGTAGAAATGGAGAAAAAAAATAAAAATAAATAAATAAATAAGTAAAATAAAATAAAAAACCCATAAATAAATTCAAAACTTAAATTAATGATTCAAGGACATTATAAGAACAATCAAAACAATACACTCATTTTACACTCATAAAATACGCTCATAGTTTTGTATTTCATCAAAGAAAAAAAAAATAAAACTGATTTGTTGCTTTTCAATTACAATTCAATTGTGTATTTTTTTGAAACCCATATTGTGGCCCCCAGGGGTCCATTCTTCGTACCTCGCTTAAATGATCTAAGATGATTTGGCAGATCTTGGATCTTTTAATCTTGATAACTGATCTCTGGCTAATTTGGTTCTTTAAACAAGTTCGCGAATCAGATTAAAATGTCCGGATGAACTGATCTGAGATCGCTGCACATGTTGTGAAGGACAGATCTGTCCATCCTCAAAATTCTTGATCGGCAATGTAACGATTGACTGACGGCACAGCAGCGTAATGACATCATCTGATTAATATTCAATTATCCATGTGAGCAAAATTACATCAAATTAGCAGTAAACGGTTTAGCAAATTTGATAAGTAATAACTTTACACCTTGTTGTGGGCTGCATGCTTGGGCCTTTCATGTGTGAAGAGCAATCTATTTAGTTTTACAGTTAGAGCGGATTTTCCTTATTATAGTACCATTATAGTAGCCATTTTTTTAATCGGTGTAAAGAATAACTGGATGTTTACAAAAGCATTTTGATATTGGTAAAGGCGTCTGCAACTTTTGTGAAGCATCAAATCACTGGCATATTAACAGCCAAAACATGTTTATGACTGCATAAATGTATTATTGCTTTTTAAAAGTCACATATTGTGCATTATCGTACACAAATTGCACTAAAGCAATATAAAAAGTTCATATCAATAAGTTTTCTCTTTGCTCCACGAGGTGCCAGTCTTTGTACTTTTTACTTTTGTACTTTTATTTCGGGGGTGCACATTGCATTATATAAATAACTTTATTTATTTTATTAATAACTATAACTTAATATACATAGTTTAAAAATGGTGCAGTATCCTGCTGGAAGTAGCCATCAGAAGATGGGTACACTGTGGTCATAAAGGGATGGACATGGTCAGCAACAATACTCAGGTAGGCTGTGGAGTGGACACGATGCTCAATTGGTACTAATGGGCCCAAAGTGTGCACAGAAAATATTTCCCACACCATTACACCACCACCAGCAGCCTGAATTATTGATGCAAGGCAGGATAGATGATAGATCAATGCTTTCATGTTGTTGACACCAAATTCTGACTATATCACCCGAATGTCACAGCAGAAATCAAGACTCAGACCAGGCAACAGTCTTCTATTGTCAAACTTTGGTGAGCCTGTGTAAATTGTAGCCTCAGTTTCCTGTTCTTAGCTGACACCCATTTTCTCTCTTAGCTGTAGCCTATTTTCCTCAAGGTTGGACGTGTTGTGTGTTCAGAGATGCTCTTCTGCATACCTCGGTGGTAACGAGTGGTTATTTGAGTTACTGTTGCCTTTCTATCAGCTGGAACCAGTCTGGCCATTCTCCTTTGACCTCTGGCATCAACAAGGCATTTGCGCTCACAGAACTTTCTCTTTTTTCGGACCATTCTCTGTAAACCCTAGAGATGGTTGTGTGTGAAAATCCCAGCAGATCAGTAGTTTCTGAAATACTCAGACCAGCCCGTCTGGCACTAACAACCATGCCACGTTCAAAGTCACTTAAATCACCCTTCTTCCCCATTCTGATGTTCGGTTTAAACGGCAGCAGATCGTCTTGACCATGTCTTCATTCCTATATGCATTGAGTTGCTGCCATGTGATTGGATGATTAGAAATTTGCATTAACCAGCAGTTGAACAGGTAGTAGCTATTACAGCAGTTGAACAGATGTACCTAATAAAGTGGCCGGTGAGTGTATATTTACTGAGTAATCAATTATTCATTTATTTTATAATTTATTTGTAAAGAAAGATCAAAATGACAGTTTTCACTTAAGATTTGAGCATTTAATATTTTGGTCTTTTTTCACATAAAAAAAAAATAAAATAAAAAAAATAAAAGATTTGAGCTGGGGGCTAATGTATACGTGTGTAGCTTATGTTTGTTTTCTTACCTTAACTGCGTAGGTCTTTTGCTTTGATTTATCCTTAACTTTTAATATGGGACCAAACGATCCTTTTGCTATGTAACCCAGGACCTAGGAGGTTGGACAACATAATAAAACAATGACATACATTACATAAGAAAATATTACCATTGTTATTATCACCTTATTTCCATCCTTTGTCTCTCACCTGGAAATGTTCCTGTCCTGGGACAATACGGTGGGGGAATTCAGGCAAAAACATGTTGATAAAGCTAGGCAGACTCCATTCCATGCGGAGTTTCTCTGGGCCCGGTAATGAGGAGACCAGATGCTCAGGAATGGACGCCTCCTTGTCACAAATCATTCGATGTGATCCAACTCGTAATGGGTTGATTCGGCAGAGTCCAGCTGGAAGAGCAATGCCCACAGCGGATAGAAATCCCCGCCATCTGGATATCTGCGACTGCTCCTCCGACCCTTTGTACGGCTGTGAATGTGAACACCATTAAACAATCATTACACGGGGACTCGTATTCCAGACATGACCTATTTTTCTGCATGTTTGTGGGTGTTTCTGGAACTATGGAAAAAATCCAGCTGCCATAATAGATAAACGACTTTTATTTTGAAGTAAAAAGTAGAAAAGTGTAATAATAGTAGACAATTGTAGGTTAATACATTCATATATATTCACATGTTTGTCATGTCCCTATTCCAGAGCCAATTCCAATTAAAAAGTGTCATTACCAGCATAACATTATTTGCAATTTCATTAATTCTCAATTAATTTTGTGAACTCAACTGTACATAGACACTATAACTGGAGCCTATTCAGCAAGCAGTCAGTCTTTGCATCTAAAAGGTTCAACAGTGTCATTACCGCATCATTATTGGCTCGCGTTAAAACTGACTGTGTGCGTTGGTAATGACGATTTAAAAAAGGAAGTTTCAGCTTACAATCATTTGAAACACTTTATCAAATATGTCATGTATTTAAATGTACTGTTTTTGTAAAGTATTTTTTCAATTTTTGTCTTTGATGTACTCATTACCATTACGGGATTACTTTAATACTTTTATTAACACTTATAATGCATTGGGGCCTATTTTAATCTAGAAAAGACATAAAGTAAAGTAAAGTAAAGTAAAGAACTTTTATTGTCATTGTAGTTGTACAACGAAATTTGTTGCTCAGTTACATCCACTGATGAAACAGCAGAACATCAGAAAGGTAGGGAGTGAGGGAGGGGGGGGGGGGGGGGGGGGGGGGGGGGTGATTGTTAATGTGTACAAAGAGGAGGGGTGGCACAGGCTACAGCTCTGGGGAAGAAGCTGCTCTTTAGCCTGTTTGTGCGAGTCTTAATTGCCTTATATCTTTTCCCTGATGGGAGTAGTGCAAAAAGTTTGTGTCCTGGATGAGTAGGGTCCTTAATGATGTTGCTAGCTCTCCTCTGTAGGCGGCTAGCGTAGACTGTATCGAGGTTTGGGAGTTTAATTCCTATGATCCTCTGTGCAGTCTAAACAGTCCGGGATAGAGCTCTCCGGTTTTCCGCAGTGTAGCTTGTGTACCACACTATGATGCAGTGACAGAGGATGCTCTCTATCGTGCTCCTGTAGAAATTTAGTAAGAGCTGGGTCGGTACTTTTGTTTTCTTGAGTTTTCTTAAGAAGAAAAGTCTCTGTTGAGCTTTCTTCACTAAGTGGGTGGTGTTAATGGTCCATGTTAATAAATGAAAATTTCTTACATATTTTTAGTAGTGGAACTTTGCAAATACATTAGAACCTTAAATGTAGGGCTGGGCGATTAATTAAATATTTTAATTCGATTACAATTAATGAACGATTATTTATTTATTTTTATTTTTTGCCCTCACAGTTCACTGGTTTTGTAGAGTAAATATGTGCACATATTACAAGTGAAAAAAGTTTTTGAACAAAAGGTGCATTACTTGAAGGAAACACACTATCATTCTATGATTGTTTATTGAACATCAGCATTGAACAACTGAAATTAAAACATGCTGCATATAACTTATAAAATGCTTATGAAAATAAATAACTTGCACTTTTGGAAACAATAAGCGTAGAAAATAAGCAGGATCTCTTCTGAATAAAATAACTTGTATATCCTGTAAATAATATTTTAAACAGTGCATTTCTTGAATCTTCTGTAAACATATTTTAATGTAAATAATAATTTTATTGTATGTAAAATACGCCATTTGCAAGTATTGCAAAGTAAGGCAAGGGGTCAGCCACGGTGAGGGGTATGCAACCAGTCTTAAAGGAATAGAGTCACATGACTTCCCACAAGGTAGGAAAAGTAATTGAAAAGATTGACCTGGAAAAATTAGATTGATTATAGATTCTGAATGTCGATTTCAATTACTTTTTGATTAATTGCCCAGCCTTATCTAAATGTATTTATTTATAAGTCTCAAATAAATGTAAGATGCTTAATTTTCTACGTATTTTGGACCTGGTTATGAATGCAGTGGCTTTAGGTGTGAAAATATTTGTTGTACAATTATCTATAATAATTATACAAGAGTTTTGATGCAAGTAAAAAAGAATGTCATTTGCTTGAAAAGCGTTTTATAAAATACAGAATTTTTTTATTTTTCTAAATATTATAGTTTCATATACTTGTACTGAATTTGAGCATTCATGATAATAATTTAACTCAGGTTATTTTGGTTTATTTGGGTTATATGGTTAAGTAGGCCTGTCATATCTTTTTTGTTGTACAATATTGCACCAATATATTGTGGTAAATGAAAGTATTGTAATTTTAGGACCATTTTATGCCACTCATTATATAATGCCAGAATGACAATATAATATCTTCACAATGCAAGTACACTCTTCTGAAGAACATATATTTTATTCTTAAGAATATTTTATATAATTATAGTCATTTCAACAATGTAATCATTAGGCACTGAAATCATAATGTGAAAATGCATTTATGATAATAAACGAATATTAATAAATGTAAACAAAAAAAGTGCAAGGAAAAAAGTAACAGAGGCTGTAATATCTGGTACCAGTTGACAAGCACCCACATTAAATATACTATAGTGATTTATAGTAAATACTAGTGTTTTTTAACCATGCCGGCACTGACACCTCCAAAAGAGATAAAGATGTGGCAGAATCAGCTAAAATGTTAGTTGGATTGGTTTTTATGTATAGGTGATATATATCGCATCACCAAAAATGATTGAGGTCATGTCCATGTGTTGTGCGATAAGCCGATATATTGATTATTATAACAGGCCTAGGGGTAAGTTATCATGTTACTTATGTTTGCATTTCTAAATGTTACACATTTTATTATGTTGTCATGATACTGGATAAAATTTTATATAACTTGAAAAATATTAATATCCAATACTCTTTTCTGAGGAAATAAAATACACAAAAATTAAATGATAATAAACTGAAAAATAAACAGGGCTTGAATATAAGAATAAGGTTTATTTTTTTACATTGCAAAAATATTATGGTAGTGCACTTATTTAAAAATAAAACTTAAAAGTAATAAAACAACAACTAAATTCAATCTTTTATAAAGCAATGAAGCAATGGCAAAAGCATGTAAAGTAGATTCAAAACTTGACTTTGCTGATCAGATATATCAAATGACTTAATACGAAGTGTATATATATATATATATATATATATATATTTTAAATAAAATCTAACATGCATCACTTTATTTTAACAGATTAACTTAAAAGTGATACTAAAGTGGCACATGCATGCCTGAGCAGCCCATCCATAGATAACGTTGCACGTTACACACATGGTTTCAACAACTTTTCCTTCCCACTCATGTTAAAAAAACAACAACACAGATCTCACCTGGCTGTTTTTGCTTGCATCGGCACCCATCACATTTGTCGCTTTGAGTGAAAATATTAGTTCAATCCTACATTTTGTTCATCCATATTGTCGCCTGTGGTTTTAGTGACAGAGACTGGCAGAGCACTGGCGCTACTGTGCACTACCGTAATAATTGCTCCAATATGGGACAGGTCAACAGCTTTATCATCGTGTCTCACACCGAACTATACAGTCGAACTCATTCTCCACCGAAGCGTTATCAGCCTGACAGATATGGCGACAAAAACAAGATAATCTCCGATAGAACACTGCGCATCCTCCATCGTTGCTGTCAGCCAATCGGATTTCTTGGTGCGTTGATAGACCACGCCCACCAGAGAGCCCTCTGAAAATAGCAGCAGGAGCTGTCCGGGCTGAATTATTGACGCTCAGTTACATCCACTGATGAAACAGCATCAAACATCAAACACGATAACAAAGTCATACATCCTGTTAATTATTATTAGATGAGTATTTTTTATTGTATTATCTTATAACAGCTTTTAATCCTGCGCGTATAGGGGCCTACAGAACTAATTTTTTTTGTTCTTGAATAGCCCATTCACCAATGCTGATTTAAAAGTTAAACATGCAATTACAATAATAATAATAATAATAATAATAATAATAATAATAAGTAAAAAAAAAAATAAAGTAATTTAAATAACAAACCTGTTAGATTTCAAAATGTATTTATTTGTTATTGGGGACAATTTTATGCCAGAATCACTGAGATTTTTGACTTTAATAATATATTTAAATAAAATTGTATTAACATTTGTTATTACTATTCATTTAAAAAAATAATAAAATAAAAATAATATATACACACACACACACACACACACACACACACACACACACACACACACACACACACACACACACACACACACACACACATACATACATACATACACACATACATACATACATACATACATACATATATATACATATATATACATATACATTTTTTTTCATGTTTTATTACAATACACTAATAATAAAAGTGAGATGTTGGTAATTAGTGAGTTAACTGAATGTAAACTGAGTTAACTGAGTTAAATGTAAACTAATCAAACCTTATGGTAAAATGTTGACACTATTTGCATTTATTATTATGCATTTTAATTTTAATTTAAGTTTTAGCAATGCTATGTGTTTTAATTTGAGTTTTAAATGTTATATTTTTAACAATCTTGTTAGCAAGTTAAACATGTTTAGACATTTTGGGAAAATTAAGTGCAGTTTTAGGCTATTTATTTAATGTATAATTTATTATGTTTACTTTATAATCCTAGTTGTAGTTTGTTTTTGCATTATATTTGCAGTTCAAACTGACAATGCAAAAAAAAAAAAAAAAAAGCATGACATGTCATGTGACAGCTGACCTGTTGAGCATCAGTAGATTGCATAAGAGAAGGACTGGATTATCTCATGAACAGCGCTGTTTCAGATTAGACAGTCAGATGGTTTAACAGAGTTTGTAAAAACATTGTCAATCAACCATCAATATTTTTAATACCTTTTATTGCTGATTCATTGGTTAGACATTTAAAAAACGTGTTATTGGCTTGTGCTGTGCAGTGCCCTTAAAGTTTTTTTTGGTCAGATGTAATGTACGACATTTTGAAAAGCAAACAAACACACATGAATAAAAAAAACATGCATGTACTTCATTTGATTGTACAGATTACAGCTTTTACTCTCCGTCTCTGGTTTTCATGTTTACAGATACGCATACATATTACACAAATATGCACGATTGCACACACACACAACTGCCCACATCAAATGTCTTTAAAATAATAGATTAGAAACAGTAGCTGCATAATTGCTCATAATGCATAAATGATGATGCTTAAAGCAATGCTGAGCTCATTCTTCTACAATGGGCAGCCATATGTGACTCGTTTGACCACAGACCACTGAGAATAACAAAGATTAAAACATGTAGAAAGTGACATTTTCACATATTTACCGTTATTCTAACATTCAGTCAAGATATAATATGATGTTTAAACATTATGGCTACTCTTAATTATTATATCGAATTTATTAAAACAAAAAGACATGAGGAACACTAAGAAACAGGTTAGTAACATGTAATGGATATAGAGTCTAAAAAAATGAGAGGGGTTGGAGAATTTTGTATTTGTAATATTACAATTCAAGATGTGCTTAATCAGATGTCACTTTTATCTATTTATACCCACAACGACAGTTATTCATAATTAATTTAATTTTAATCTCTTCTGTGGTTGATTTAATGGTGGTAAAAAATATTTCAAATTTGTTTCGGATCTGTAATGTAATTTTTGTTTATTTTTTATCATTAGTGGTTGTTCGTTTTGTAATTTTGTGATCTCCCAATAATATCTGCATGCAGCCTTGATGATGCAAGCTGAGACTGCATATCTCAGTGATGCAATGTCAGACACATTTATTTGTTAGATTTTCATCAACTAACATATTTTTCGATCAATATGACCCAAATAGTACAAATATTATACTAATTAATACAATGTCTATAATCTATATGATATGCAACAAAACTGATTCCAAGAGATACATTCATTACTTGTGGCATTTCATGTATTTTTAATTACTGAGATTTTGCATTTTACTAACATTTTTTAAGTAATAAATATGAACATACAGTATTTGTGACATGAATAACACATTTCAATCTTTGCTCAATTTTTTAGAGTACAACATTAGAGTGAGCTTAGAATACAATATCTATAGCTTATTAAGAGGACAGTTCACTCAAAAATAAAAATTCTGTCATGGTTTATTGACTCTTCCCTTGTTCCTAAAAACCTGTAACCATAGACTTGCACAGGAAAAAACAACAATGGAAGTCAATGGTTACAGGGGTTAAAGACTTTCAGCTTTCTTCAAAATAAATTCATAAATGTTTTTAAGAATTGAGGGTGTGTAATATGTGTTAGTTATAACATGTAACTTAAATATGAGCTTAGAAATCGAATTGAATTTACATTCATGATGTAAACACAAAACTGTCCAGCATTCCGACGTGAAAACAATTTTGACACGTGCCTTCGTCATAACATCCGGGAAGTTCAGTTGTCAAGATGGCGACGCGCATCGCAAGCATGAGATTTCGGTGTGCACTGTTTCAATCAGCTTTGACATTGGGACGTAATGAAGTAAATATCAAAAGATATGTGCGTAGACGAAGAGCTGTATCTGGAGTAATATCAGTAAATGAGCCGACAGAAATATCGGAAGGAGTCATCAGTCAAACAAGTGAACGTTCATCACAACACAACAATGATATCACCAGAAACACCGACAAATCGAGCATTGAAAACCCCGTTAGCCCAAACAACTCACAGCCCGTTCAGTTCTCACACATAAACCGGCAGAAGGTGATCAATTTAACATCGAGGACCCGTTTTGGAGAAGTTGATGGTTTACTGTATGAGAAATTACATCCTGGTGACAAGAGTTTGGCGTGAGTAATATAAACACGTCTTCACTGACAGTTGTTGACTAACGTTACTAACATAATTAGTTTGAGGACTTGTATCATCATGCTACTTGGACCTAATTTTATATACTAGTTCGGTATATCTTTCATTCTATAAACACTAGTAGGTTTTGTAAGATTAGTATGTATTCAGTAGGAAGTTAGTGTCTTTATATTTACTACAGTACATCATCGATATGGCAATGTGTCCATCTGCAATGTCAACTAGTGAAATGTATAATTTCCATGTGTTTTAAGGCCTGTGGTTGTATGGGCATATCAAGAGAGTTTAAAGCATTCAGGCAGACAAGAAAGTGTATCGTCTGTAACTTTAATAAATATTTTATTGAATTAATTATTATTGGTTCATTCCACAGTGGTAACCCTAGATAAAACAGGAACTAAGCTGAAATATAGTGAGTGAATTATTTCTGCAATGAAGGCTATAGTGCTATATTACAAATGATTATTTAATTTCTGTACCTGAATTCTTACCAAATAGAGATATTAAACCCATCTGCTGAAATTGTATTCATATCGCAATTAGGCATGTGCCGGTATAAGATTCTGACAGTATGATTACCTTGGATGTAAATATCATGGTATTGAGATTACTGCTCTAAAATAATATTCCTTTTAAATGTCTGGGTTAAAAACTAAAACTTTTCGCCTTTTGTACACAATATATTTTCATTTAGTAAACATTAAAAATAACATGGAGCAGTAAACATGTCACGCTAAATAATTCAAATGAGTCATTGACTTCTGCTTTCTTTATTTGTTTCAAAAACACAGATTTTATTACAATTTGAAACTGCATCTTTAGAGATCTTTTCTGCTGGAGATATTGCTGTCTTAAAATAAAATAAAAAAAGTAAATCTTACACATACCTTAGGAACGGTATTACAGAAAATTTTGGCAGTTTTAAAACTTTCACTTTTCCAAACTGCAGTATACCTTGAACGCGGTTATCGTCCCATGCCTAATCGCAATAGATATAACTCAAAAACAATGTCAGATTTTCCAGTATTGTGCAGCCCTATACAGGGGCGCCTGCAGGATTTGTTCCAAGGTACGCACAAAGCCAGGACCGCCTACTCCCTTCCGCCAATCATGTCGAGAAACACGGATTGTTTCCTTTTTAATTTTTATATTTCACTGAAATCTAAATAAAAGCACATCAGCACCAAGGGGAAAAAATCAGACGCTCAAGGCGTTCTGTTTAAAATTATGACATATTAAAATATTTGCAAATCTATGACAAAAGATTGTGATATAATACATTTAGTGAAGCATTAATTAAATCCTTACTTTCCACTGACCGAAAATCTTCCACCCACACAGTTGAATAGTGGACGGGCTCAAACAAAAATATAATTTGTATATTTTTCTTGGAAAAAATATATTTTTAAAACTAATTTCGTATATCGTTTGTGTCTTTGTTTAAATATTTTTCTTGGTCAGTTATCTTCTAGATAAAATAGAAGAACAAATAACATTTGAGGTGAAGTGCTTCAAAACCCGCAATGTGCTTGAACAATGCCGAACCACGAACTGAATTGTCAAATAAATCTAGCCTAAATAAAATTAAAGTGAAATATTCAGTTTCAGAGAAGCCTATATTAAACGGTTTTCCATGTTGCACCGAATCATTTGAAAAAGCAGGACAGTCGTTTACAAGTTCGCATGGGCTATATTTGCAACAGCACTGAACATGTTTCTACATTACCTCAATGGAACAAACTCGCTTAAAGGATGAAACCGCTCTGGTCTCCAAAACTGGTTGTGAGAATGGAGATTTCTGCTTATTTATGATAAAGTTGTTTAAAACACCTTGAATGCTAGCCATTTCATGCGAGGAGGCCGTGCAGCAGCTGGATCTAATCTGTCTGATAAAAGAGACAGTTTCCCCAGCTCAGGTGCTGATGATGAGACTGCGGTCTCCACCCCATGTAGGGGATCAGTATTTGTCTCATTAGTTTTAGGCCTTTTGTCAAATGTCTTAGTTAAGTTTTCTGTTTTAAAGAGTGTTTACCCATTTTGAACGCTGTTTTAAACAATAGCTATCTGAATGGTAATTTTTAGGTGTAAAAAAAACCCCCAGCAAAACTAAAGCCAATAGATTTCTTTACCCATCTCCCACCATGCAAGTACATACACACTTTAAAACACACAAACGCACACCTTTATTTGTTGTCATTCTTTTTTTGCTTTGTCAATATATAATAGTGTATACTATTATCAATTTAAATTATGTAATAAATAAATAAATAAATAAATTCAATTCAGCTTTATTTGTATAGCGCTTTTACAATTTAGATTGTGTCAAAGCAGGTTCACATAAATGGTCATAGTAACTGGATCAGGGTAGTTCAGTTTTTAGTGTTTAAGTTCAGTTCAGATTAGCTCAGTTCAGTGTGGTTTGAAATCATTACTGAGAGTCCAGTTCGGCACGACCATTTTAATTTCTTCGCTGGCCAAAAGTCTTGTGCAGAGCTGCAGTCTCAGCAGTGGAGGCTTTAAGCTGGCCTCAGCGAAGACTCATCTGTCCCTGGAGCGTCACTGGAATCAGTCTCATGCTCCACTCCCCTATGACCAACAGTGCAGCAGCAGCTCAGGATACGGCCTGGATACGGATATGGACACCTTGGGATCATCTTGTAAATAAGCAGTATTAAATCGCGCCCTCTCATGGTATGCACAGTGCATACAGCCGTGCGGCTGCAGGCGCCACTGGCCCTATACTAAACTACTGGAATTCATCTGTTTTGGTTATTCTATTCACCTTATTCTCTGCCGACGAGTGGGCGCTGCCATTTGACTCTTTTTGGCTCGAGACTTCCGGTCTCATTCACTTCCATTCATTTTTTGACGTTAAAAACTGCCCGTTACGCTGCTTGATGTTGCAATTTGATATTTTTTTATTATATTATTCTACTTGGTCTGTATAGTCATGCAAACATTTGTTTGTAGAGCAGGCAGTTCATTGACCATTTTCTGCCGTTTATTATTCCTAGTCATCTCTACCATAGGCACCTGAATCGGAAGTTCTAAGACAATCGTGATAACAGGCGCACTTCCGCATTCTAGAATAAGGTAAATAGTTGCTGGGTATTACAACTAAATATCCTAAACAAATTACCCATTGCTGAACTAAGTATTCAACCACTATAAGGTATATTATTCTACAAAATACACCACAGTTTACTGTATTAAAGCAAAAGTATTCAACAGCAGTGCATAGTTCACTATAGATGATATACTGTAATGTAGTATTTAACAAAGTGTTGTAAATAAATACTGTATTATATACAGTATAGTACAGCTATTAGTAGCCAATAAAGATGTACTAGCACTTAATGGAATAATTGTCCAATTTGGTAAGCATAAGTTCTCTACTCCTAATTAAAACCAATTCATGACTTTTGTAAGAATATTTTTACTCTAAAACATATTTTATATTTTAAACTTATATTAGAGAACTTTTTTTATGCTTTCAAGGACTATATTGAAAAATCTTATATGACCTTATATGTAGTTATCTGGATGTTATTAGTATGATGTATGGTTTTAGAGCTCGTCATAGCAGAGTCCGCTCTATTGAGGGTTTCAAACGATATTTTGTTGGAGGTTGATTCAGGTAGCCCTGTTGTTCTTGTACTGTTGGAACTCACTGCTGCTTTTGATACAGTGGATCATGACATTCTCACTGATCGTCTTAGAGAACACGCTGGCATCCAGGGTCTGGCCTTAGATTGGTTCGGCTCATATCTGAAGGATAGAACTATATCAGTCAGTGTGGGCAACTCCTCTTCATCTGTCATGCAATTAATGTGTGGGGTTCCGCAAGGCTCAATACTGGGTCCTGTTTTGTTCTCCCTTTACTTACTTGCGTTAGGAAATTTTTTTTGAAAAGCATGGCATAAATTACCATCTATATGCTGATGACTCTCAAATCTACTTCCCTATAAAATCTAGGGATCACTCCTCCTTTCAGGCTTTGCTTAATTGTTTGGCTGATGTGAAGTGTTGGTTGGCAAATAACTTTCTCCAACTTCATGAAGACAAGTGCGAATTCATTGTTTTTGGTCAAAAAGGTTCAGATTCTGATGGCAATCTGTCATTGCTTCCTGGGAAAAGCATTTCTTGGTAAAGAGTCTTGGTGTCATCTTTGACTCTGAGCTAAAATTTGATCGGCAAATGAATGCCGTTGTCAAAAATAGTTTTTTCTATTTTAGATATATTGCCAAGTTTAAGTCTATCCTCTCTTTCAGTGATTTGGAGAAAGTTGTTCATGCTTTTATTTCTTCTCATCTGGACTATTGCAACGCATTTTATCTGGGTGTGAGGCAGGCCTCTCTCTCGCGACTGCAGCTAGTCCAGAACGCAGCTGCCAGGCTTTTAACGGGCACAAAAAAAACGAGAACACATTACACATGTGCTTGTTTCTCTACACTGGTTGCCAATCCAGTTTAGAATTCAGTACAAAGTTCTGTTGTATGTTTATAAATCCCTCCATGGCCTGGCCCCTGAGTATATTTCTGAGCTAATTATTATGCACCAACCTGTGAGATCTCTTCGCTCTAAGGATCGTCTCTATTTGCAAGTTCCTAGATCGCGCTTAAATTGTCGAGGTGAGAGCTTTCTCGGTTGCAGCGCCAAGACTCTGGAACGATCTCCCACTCTCTTTAAGAACAGCTCAAACTTTTGATTCTTTTTAGAGGTCACTGAAAACACACTTGTTTTCTTTAGCTTTTAATCATGTGATGGTTTTGGTTTTATGTATATTTTACATGCGTTTTATGTACAGCACTTTGGTAATCATTGTGATTTGTGAAAGTGCTATAGAAATAAAGTGAGTTGAGTTGAGTTGATGCTTTATTACGAAACTGTTATGTTTGTTGATGATGAATTGACTATTTATTATCAATGTTTTCATGATTACGAACAATGCTGTTGATATGGCTAAATAAGTAAAAAAAATAAATGTAAATATTATTTAAATATTTAAATCCGTAAGTATTGCTTTTATTTACAATAAATGATGTTGTTTTTATTTCCATTTTATCTGCAGGAAGTTGGCCCGAATAGCAGGATCTAAGAAGCTACGTGAGCATCAGGTTGTTCTGGAAGGAAAGCATCTCGTATGCAGTGCTCTGGATGCTGGAGCTGAGGCTCAAACGCTTTATTTCAGTTCAGTGGATGCGCTGAGAGAGCTTCCCCTGGATAAACTCAGACAAACCAATGTGGTGAAAGTCAAGATGGAAGATGCTCAAGTCTGGTCTGAACTTGACACCTCACAGGAAATAATTGGTAAGAAGATAAAATGGCATTATTTAATTTAATTGTCCCGGACTGCAGCACCTTAATTTGAGTGTCTCTAATAATTGCAGCGATATTCAAACGGCCTGAGGCGTCTCGATTAACATTCTCAGAAGAGAAGTATGGCAGGGCTGTGCCTCTGACACTGATCTGTGACACTGTTAGGGATCCTGGAAACCTGGGCTCAGTGTTACGCTCCGCCGCCGCTGCAGGCTGTCATAGTGTTCTGCTGACCAAAGGTAAACAACTCGCTTCTTTCTGCTCTACCTAATTATTAAATTCAAATAAATTTTTATTATTATTAAAAGACTAGACTTAAATGACTTTGTTTCCTTTAACAGTTAACAGTTGTTTTTTGGGACAACTTAATTGTTTTATGTTCAATCCACTTAAATTAAATTAAACTAATAATTTAATTTAATTCTTTCATGTTGTCTCAACACAAATTGATTGTATTTAACCCAGGACTTTTTACAGTGTAGCAGATAACAATATATAAACACACCAATGTTATTAAAGTCAGTAATTAAATTATAATAGGGAAACGCAAAAAAAAAAAAGATAAAACGCTCAACAATGATTCATTTTTAGAGATGCTGTAATGTAATGATGTTGTAATGTATTTTTTCGATTTGTTATGGTTTTGAATTATTGAATTTGTTCGTAATTAATAATTATTCAGACTCATTAAAAATCGTTATCATCAAATCCACTGTAGGGCTGCCCTTTAGGAAAGCATATTATTAGGGAATGGGAATTTAGTTTGACCCATAATAATAATAATAAATCTTGTCCACTGTTCAAATGTTCTACTTTTTGTCTCGTTCTGGATGAAAAGATCCACTGAACATCTTATAACATATTTTAACACATTTTTATCGACCGTTTTGGTCGCATATGCGCTCAAAATTTTATCTATGCGACCTCAAAATCTATTTGGGAGCATTCGTGCGAATGCTTGAAATTGTTGTGTGCGACCAGTTTTTACTGCAAAATGTTCACCACATACGCTGATTTGGGAGGCATTTACGCAGAATGCATTTCTGCATTTGAAACGCTAAATTCAGTGCTCAGGAATGGTTTAAAACAGTTGTCAAGCCAACTTGCTGCAGTAAACAAAGCCAAGTCTGTAATGTTTGTCCCGCCTTCGCGCTCTTCTTATTGGTCCACTGCTCTAGCACTGAAATTTCAGCTGTCAATCACTCAGTCAATGCCTTCTGGCTTGTGATGACAGAGAGAGCTACTACCGCGAAAAACTGTAAAGCGCTGAAGATAATGAAGATAACACTGACAGATTTAGTTTTAGAAACCATGACATCTAAAGTTACAAATAATGAAACATCTTAGTAGTGATCACGTGCTGAATGTTAATCCACCATCTACACTTTTCCAAGTGTGGATAAAAGACTTCCGTTGGCTTCAAGTCCGCTATGAAAAGTCTGTGGGATGGAATTTTCAGGTAACTGTTTGCCACATCTAGCACGAGAGCAATGTGCAATGGCAGCTGTGTGTAAAATGTAACACTTGTACTCCATCGCAAATAGGCTTACACTGAGTAAACTAATATTGCTACTCATGAAGACCGGTATGGCTATTAACATGACGTATGCATATAATAAGGTACAGTATATGTCAAAAGCACCAGTGAGAACAGCACAGTTATACCGATAACAGATTCATTCATGTCAAGCAGTGCGTGCAGGGCCGGTGAGCGCTCCGTATATCTTTTGGTCACTCAGTTATGTTATAAAATGTGTTTTCTTGTGATAACGGGATTTCGATGAGACGTTTTCCTCATGCATGCATATATATATATATATTTTTTTTTTTTTTGCTTGTTAGTTTGATTAGTGTTGATTTCAAATGCAATAAATCTGTATAAACTTGTAATAACGGTGGTTATAATTGGTGGGTGCACCTACATTTTTTAGGTTAGGAGCACCGGTGCTACCAAGCAAAGAGGTTAATTTCGAGCCCTGAGAAAGGTATAATAAATAATCTGATGGGTGTTTTGAGCTGAAACTTCACAGACACATTATGGAGACACGAAAGAGTCATTTAAAATCGTGAAACGGGTTAAATAGGTGCCCTTTAAACAGGATTTTCATGCTTCTTGAAAGTACTTAAAAGTACTTGAATTTCAGACATATGGATTCAAGGACTGGAAAAACAAACACAGGTCTTTGAATGTGCTTGAAATTGAAATTAAATTTGTTTACGGTTTTATTTCAATAATTGTACTCTATTGTCAAAACAGACAAATTAAACATCTAAAATTTTAATCTTGTACAATAACACTGTCACTTCCCAGTGGTGGGTTGTGGCAGGAAGGGCATGCGCTGTGTAAAACATATGCTGGATAAGTTGGCGGTGTATTCCGCCGTGGCGACCCCAGATTAACAAAGGGACTAAGCCGAAAAGAAAATGATTGAATGAATAACACTGACAAATAATGCACATTTTTATCAATATTCCAGAAACCCCAAATGAATATCACCAGTATTGCATACAGCTAATTTTATTAAAATTCTTTGAATAATTTTCACATTTTGATGTAAATTTTAAGTGTAACTAAAACAGTACAGTCAGGACTTTCATGAGGCTACATATGTTGAGGTATGAATTACAAAGGTGTGTGATATTGATATAGTTAATGGTGCTTTAAAAGGTCTTTGAAAGTCATTAAGTCTACTGTTTGTGAAAGAGTGGGAACCCTGTTTAAAGCTTGAGTCTTCTGTACTTACATTATGTATATTATCTGATTCAATTCATCATGCTAAGCTGAGATTGTTACACTGCCAGAAGTCTTCTGAATGGATCAAAACTGGTTCAAGTCAAACATCTTCTAGGAGACTTCTTCCAATAAAGATGGAGATATTTCTTTAAGAAATATAATCATAAATGTTTGATGAGCTGGCTAATGATGGAAATGATTGACGATTAAAAATGATTGGTTAAAGTATTATTTTTTTTATACTTACAGCTAAATTAGTCATTAAAATACTGTTTTATACAACAAATATAAATGCAGACACTTTAAAAATGTCAAGTAGTCACACATAATCACATACAGTACGTCTTTACACACATACTGTAGAGCAGGGGTTCTCAACTGGTTTGGCCATGGGACCCACATTTTAACATGGTCATCATGCCGCGACACGAATTTTTAGGAACTATAATATAATTTTAGGAATTATAATTCATTTGTATTTATTTGTTAACATACAAGTAGTGACCGATAAATCAAAATGTATCAAATTATAGTAATATTACAGAGTAAAAACGTCATCTGCTATTCAGCTATTGGAGTCGTCTTTGAAAATAGTCCAGATGTTTGTCCTTGCAACTGGGATGTTTGGTTTCTAAATATCGTTTCAATTTAGAAGGTTTCATGCTCTCTTGTGAGAGCACCTCACTACATATGACACACTGAGGCTTTAAGCCTTTTTTGTCATTAATATATGTAAATCCATACTTTACATATTCGAGGTCGTACTTGCGCTTCTACATATTTGTTGCTATAATTAAATGAAATTTCACATGTCAAACTGTACGGTTGTCGCACGTGCATTTCAAAATAAAAGTCCGATATAAGCAAAATGAGTTAAAAATGTAACTTTTGTTGTTTTGTTTTTTTTTGATCACACACTCCGCGACCCATTGAAAATGTTCCCGTGGGTCGCGACCCACCAGTTAGGAAACACCTGTTAGGAAACACTGCTGTACAGGGTTTATGAAAAACCTAGAAACGTCATGGAATTTTGAAATGGCGTTTTCCAGGCCTGAAAAGATTTGGAAAATCTGAAAAACCCACAAAGTTTTGAAAATGTCATGAAAACTTGTTGAACAAATCATCACCTTGGCAGGGCCGGAGTGGGACTCCTTTTCAGCCCTGGAGTTTCAAGCCTCAGACCGGCCCACCTTCACGACTGACTATATTAAAATAATGTCATTTCGAATTCAGTTTCTAATTACAGGATCACGTATTTTTCAAGAAAACAGCTGCTTTATAAGTTGAAATGTTCAACAACCCCAATAGTATTATATGTCTTAACAATAAAAATGAAAAAAAATAAATAAATAAATACAATTAGATAGGTAAGGATCGAACTCTGGTCTTGCAGTGTGGTAACGCAACGTGCTGACCACTGAACCACAATATAGACATATTGTTAGAAATATGTCTATTGACGAGTTAATGTTTTTCTCCCCTTTCTAGATTTCTGATCAATTTATGTCAGATTTATTAATGTAGTGAATCATCTGATTTTCATTGAGCAGGTGTAATATTCATTAATATTAATTATTCGAATTCTTATATTCACTAAGGTGGAGCTGTTGGGGTCGAATAATAGTTACGTTATCATTAACCTGCAGGCTGTATTTTGCTCACGGGGCTGCGAGAAAATAAATAAAAAGTGCGGAGCTGCGGCAAAATAATGAATAAAAAGATTGAGACTATGATCAAATAAAAAAAATAAATAAAAAAAAAGTGCGACTGCTGAGAGTGCAAGCTGCAAGGGACACCGGCCCTCACGGCCAAAAAAACGGACCGGCCCACCGGGAATTCTCCCGGTCCTCCCGATTAGCCAATCCGGGTCTGCACCTTGGAATTATAAGGTTCTATCTGTATTCTGAATAATTTTGAGATAATGAGATTTAATGTTTTTTGCATTCCATGGTAAACAGTATGTGCATAAGATCTGAACAACTTATAAAAAAACATCCCTTAATGTAAATAAGTTGTCAAATAACTCAATTTTGACAAAAATGTCAAATAGAACCTTACAATTCTAAGGTGACGAAATATCTGTATACTTAAACTTTAAACATGGGCTAGTTGTCTTTACTTTTTTCTGTTTATGGCCAAACACATGCTCTCACATTATTAGTGCTGTGTGAGCATTATCTAAATACATTTTATATAGACATTTTATATAACATTTGTTTACACTAATTAGATTCTTGCATGTTTTATGATCTGCTATAATAACTTTAAACGTGCAGTGTTTTTTAAAAATAATTTATTACGTACACGCAAACATTACATGAAACATTGGGTCATTTACTTGAAAGTCCTGGAAAAGTCATTGAATTTTAGTAGTAAAACGTGTATGAACCCTGACTGCATGAAATGCATATATACATGCATTTTATGGGCTGTTTTATGTGCTTCTCGCAGGATGTGTAGATATTTGGGAGCTTAAAGTCCTCCGGGCAGCCATGGGGGCTCATTTCCGTCTCCCTATAATCCCAAACCTGACATGGACGGACATTTCGAATCACCTGCCCAAAACATCAACCGTTCATGTAGCCGACAACCACAGCACAACCATGGCCAAACATAACGATAACACGACACCTCAAAAACACAGAAGGCCATCAGATTACGGCTGGGTGAAAGGCCACCAGTACCAAAGCAAAGCACATGATGATGATGATGATGATGATGATGCCAATGATTTGTGTAGTTTGGAAGATTATTGTGATAAAAATAGTAAATCCCTGGAGACGCAGCTTTATTACACAGACTGGGTTGCTGGGCACACGAGCCTCATCATTGGTGGAGAAACGCACGGCCTGAGTCGGGAGGCTTTGCAATTGGCTGAGAGGACTAGCGGGCGGAGACTGTTGATCCCGATGGTTGACGGTGTGGACAGTCTGAACTCTGCCATTGCTGCTGGTGTTCTGCTCTTTGAGGGAAGGAAGCAGCTGCTGTCTCTGGAGAAGATCAGAGTTTAACCACAGTAAAAAAAACATGTCAGTGATATCAAATCCTCTTACATGATCATTATATAATATGTTTGCATCTATTTAGTATGATGTTATGTTTAAATGTTTATATGCAAAATAAAGATGTTTTTGGTTAAGAATTCTTTTAGTTTTTTAACAAATATCAAATGGAAAAAACATTTCTGATTTATTAGTAATTAAATAGGAATATAAAAACTATTAAGCACGGTGGTGCAGTGAGAAGCACAATCACCTTACAGCAAGAAGGTCGCTGGTTCGAGCCCCGGCTGGTTCAGTTGGCATTTCAGTGTGGAGTTTGCATGTTCTCCCCATGTTCGCATGGGAGTTCAAAGACATGCGCTATAGGTGAATTGGGTAAGCTAAATTCTCCGTATCTATGTGTGTGAATGTTTCACAGTGATAGGTTGCAGCTGGAAGGGCATCCGCTGCAAAAAACATATGCTGGATGGGTTGGCGGTTCATTCCGCTGTGGCGACCCTAGATTAATAAAGGGACTTGCCAAAAAGAAAATTAATGAATGAAAAAGTATTAATATAGTATTAATACAAATAATTGTATTATTTTTAAATTGGATAAACTACATACTATTAAAATGTGCCATTTCTAGTTATACATTGTTCTAGTTTTTAAATTATTTTATAAATAATTGCTTATAAATAAACGTTGTTATATTGTTAAATTGTTTTATTACTTTATTATAGTGTTCTAGTTTGTAAATATATATATATATATATATATATATATATATATATATATATATATATATATATATATATATATATATATATATATATATATATATATATATATATATACAGTTTAAGTCAGAATTATTAGCCCCCCTGAATTATTAGCACCCCTGAATTGTTAGCACCCCTGTTTATTTTTTCCCCAATTTCTGTTTAATGAAGGGAAGATTGTTTCAGCACATTTCTAAGCATAATAGTTTTAATAACTCATTTCTAGTAACTGATTTATTTTATCTTTGCCATGATGACAGTAAATAATATTTGACTTGATGTTTTTCAAGACACTTCTATACAGCTTAAATTGACATTTAAAGGCTTAGCTAGGTTAACTAGGCAGGTTAGGGTAATAAGGCAAGTTATTGTATAACGATGGTTTGTTCTGTAGACGACCGAAAAAAAAAAGCTTAAAAAGGCTAATAATTTTGTCCCAAAAATGGTTTTAAAACAATAAAAACTGCTTTTATTCTTGCTGAAATAAAACAAATAAGACTTTTTTCCAGAAGAAAAAATATTATCAGACATACTGTGAAAATTTCCTTGCTCTGTTAAACATAATTTGGGAAATATTTAAAAAAGAAATCAAAAGGGGGCTAATAATTCTGACTTCAACTGTATATATATATATATATATATATATATATATATATATATATATATATATATATATATATATATATATATATATATATATATATATATATATATATAATTATTATGAAATATTCCTCAGCACGATGTTTAACTGAGCAGGATTCTTTCGTATGTTTTTCTCTGTGATATTTAAAATATTTGTGTGAAAAAAAACACAATGGGAAACACAATGGGAAAATAGAATTGAATAAATCAAAAGATCTAAAAAATACTAAGACTAAATAGCAATATTTTATTTATAGCAATGTTTTAACAATATTAGATATTTAATCAAATGTAAAATAGTATGTGGACAATTGTAATAATATAAAATATAGTGCCGGCATTACTCCTTGGCAAGATATTTAACCTGTTCGTTGGGTGCGTGCATGTGTGTGTGAGAGCTTTTCGATTGTTCATTCATTCAAAGCAGGATTTAATTTGACCATTGAACAAAAACAAAATGTAAAACAAATATGTAAACAATAAAATTACATTATTATGTATACAGCATGTACAGTTCTAATTAAACTGTTGGATTATATAAACAGTAATTCTTGACTTAATGAGTTGGCATTATTAATATGAATTATTTTTTTTTACATTGTTCATGTCCTATTTGCTAAAAAGTTCTCTTTCTGCTACAGGCATTTTCAATCTCTGAAAGTTTTTTTTTATTTCACATTCTGTATTCTCTTAGTGAAAAGTTTGACTTAAGCTCACCCTCTCTCTGTGTGTTTTCATGTAATATTTATGCAGACATGCTGCATTTTAATAAGCCGAGTCCTATCTGTTGGTCTCCAAACAGCAGATGCAAGCTGCTGCATTATTTAGCTCCCTGCTAATCTCTGTGTATCTTATGGAATTGTTTCTTACAGCTACTTCTCTAGTATGAGAATATATGAAGCATAACATTACAAGACATTTCACAACTGTTAAACTTCAGCCTGTTAATTATAAAAGACTGTCTTAAATATGAGAAATAATCTAAAGGGCCAATTTTTCCACACCCTTCTTGTGTCTTCGGTTGAACAAAAAAGAAGATATGTTGACGATTTTTTCAAGAAACCATATTCGTATGCCCCTACTTTGGAAGTCAGTGGATCACCAATCATTAGCTCACCCAAAATTATTCTAAATATCTTTGAAAGCTACTGAAAGAACGGTTTGTAACCACTTGAGGTATAAATGGTGAATAAACAATCGGTGCAGGATGAACCACCAGAGGGCGCTGGCGTATTGCACTTTAAAGATTACATTCCGCCAATATTTATATATGTTCTGTCATTTCCATATTCAAACTTTGATTTGATGTTTCATGTTACATTTGAGTCCTTTACTTGTGGAACATCATGTGGTATTTGTCATCAGGCGAGTGTGAATTTGATTGAAGAGAAATGAGGACCCAGCTGTTGATTAGGAGGGAAAGAGGAATTCATTACGAGCTAATTATATGTCATCAAAGCTGCAACTGTGCCTGATGCATCCATACATGTGTACGTCCAGCACACTCGCGTTTCCACAATCATTTTCCATTAGGGATGCAGGGACAGAGAGAATAGGAACACATTGCATGTCAATGGCCTCAATCAACAATGGAAAAACTAGGCACAGCGATCAATGGAAGAATTGATCATGTCATTTAAGTGCAGCTGCGCAGCCTATAATGTCCAGTCTAAATATGATGACCAGAAAAATGAGTTCATAATCAAAATTGTTTATTGCATTACTTTAGTGTTTAGTAGTTGTGTGTGTGTTTCTCTGCTTGGAAATCTGTTGTCTTATCACCATCCTCCTTTTGTTGTGTTTTTGTCTTTGTACAATGTGTTGATTCATGTATTCAAACTGGAAACATTGGATAAAGTAGTGAAATACAGTAGTTTACCATTAATTTCATCTCGGTTTCTACTGTATTTTTATGGTAAAATTCTGGCAACCACAGCTTTTCAGAATAATTCTTTTAAAAATTGATTTTTGCAGAAGTTCAATGGGTGTAATGAAGATGACAACTCCCACGATTCCACACTTAGTCATGCTGTCATCAAACTACACCTTTGTTTTGCGCTTCTACATTGTTATCAGGGTTTGGCCACGACTACCCCAGTGTAAACTCTGTCCACCCTTGTGGCCACCCCAATATGATTTTGCTGTTAATGTTATTAATTTAAATGTACTTGCATAAATCCACAATATAAATATATGAATAAATAGCAGCCACTAAATTTTTGTTAATTGACTGGTGCCACTGATGTAACTGATTCGCTGCCCCTCTCCGATCGTCGTTGACAGCACACACACACCTTCAATAGACATCAATGGCAATTTAATATTTACCTTAAGGTACATTAATAGAAGAAGCTGTATTAATAATATTTTGGTTAAAAAAGGAATATGGATAATTGATATTATAGTAGAAATAGTAAGTGTGTTTATATAGTATTAATGCATTTTGTTAATTTGTTTTATTAATTAATTCATTAACCTTCCTTAATTTTAGACATGGCATGTACCCTGTGCTATACAATAAAATTATGTGAAGAGTAACAAAAAAATGTATTTATATATATGAAAAGTGTTTTTAAACTTAATATAGATTTTTTTTATTTTATTGAATTATAATTTATAGATTTTTTTGGGAAAAAATTGCAATATTTCAAGAGTAATTAATTAAATGAACTAAAACCCACATTATTTTACTTATCAGAAACAAAAATATAACATTACACTTTAAGATTACATTTGTGTGTGTGCCACCCCAAGATTTGGTGCGGCCGCTTCTGGCTAAAAAATGGTCTGGGGGCGCCACTGATTGTTATCACCTCTGATTTTGGAAATAATTTACAGTTAGGATTAGGGTTCAGGTAAGGATTATATTTTTGAACAGGAATGATGTTCCAGGACCAACATACAGGGGTTGAACAATGAAACTGCCTGGTTTTAGACCACAATAATTCATAAGTATGGTGTAGGGCCCCCTTTTGGGGCCAAAACAGCATCAATTTGTCTTGAGAATGACAGACAGTACACATACACAACATACATGCACAGTGGCTAGAAGGATTTTGAGTCATACTTCTTGCAGAATAGTGGCTGGGTCACTATGTGATGCTGGTGGAGGAAAAATTTCCTCTCACTCTAAAACACTCTAAAACACCCCAAAGTGACTCGATAATATTTGAATCTGGTGACTGTGCAGGCCATGGGAGATGTTCAACTACACTTTCATGTTTATCAAAGCACTTCACCACCAGTCTTGCTGTGTGTATTGGTGCATTATCATTCTAATACACAGCACCGCCTCAAGGATTTAATGTTTGAACCATTAGGTGCACGTGGTTCTCCAGAATGGTTCAGTAGTCCTTGGCAGTGATGTTCTCATCTAGCATAAGCATTGGGCCAAGGCAATGGCATTATATTGCTGCTCTAACCATCACTGATCAATCCCTATGCTTCACTTGGGCAAGCAACACTCTGGGTGGTACATTTCTTTGGGGCTTCTCCACACTTTAACTCTCTCGGCTGTAAGAAAGACAGTAAAGGTGGACTCATCAGAAAACAATACACATCTAACATTGTCCACAGCCCAAGATTTTCGCTGTGGGCACCATTGAAACAGATGTTTGGCATTGGCAGGAGTGACCAAAGGTTTGGCTATAGCAGCTGGTGTATTTGGCCTTGTAGAGCTCCAGTTTTGGTGGAAACAGGAGAGTTGAGGTGCTCATTTAATTCTGCAGTGA